AGGTGAGCGGTCGTGCACGAGATGTACAGGCTTTTACGGAAAACGCCATAACTTTCTCTAAAATCAATCAAATTCAGAAATTATTTTTTTGTTCGACTTCTCAAATTTAGGAGAAGCAGCTGAATCATTTGGGATAAAATAAAAAATATGAAAGAGCGAATTCGTGACAGTGACACGCCCAATCAAGGCAATTTTGAAGAATCAAGCAAAGTTAAAACATGAAAACGACCTAAACAACCGTAAAAAGGCAAAGAAACACATCACGATCTTACAAACTTCCGCGCCGTACATCGTACGACGTGTGTCTCTTGTTTGTTTTTGCAAAGTTTCGAATTGAAAAACAATTTTTCTGACCAACCGGGTAAGGAGCATTTACCATATTTAGGAAAAGCGTTTAAAACAGAGTTAAAAGAGTGGGAACATTGACATGTATGCTAAAATCGAGATTCTGCTTGTAATCTTAATGCTTACTCTCTGATTTCAGTTGCCACCTGTTCGAATTTCATAAGACACGGTAGGTAGTGGCATCACAATGAAATTAAAGAAAAGCAGGAACGACAAATATGGAAAATTACTAATTTTTTCAGTTTCTCTGATATCTCTTTGAATGTAGTGGTGTCGGCATGTCGTCTAGAGTTTTGAAATGAGAATTGTAACAAGTTGGTTGTTCAGTAATTGGACAGTAAATTTTATTTCATTTTAGACTGACATTTAATATGAATATAACTGTATAACTCGAGGACAGCCCTCGTTCTCATATCATACCTGCCCACAATCAAGAGTTTAATCAGGCAAGCTTCCAATCGTAAAGCCTCTTGTTCTAGAAACTACACAGCAAAAAGATGTCCATACTGCGATACGCCCATCGTTGGTTGCAGAATCTCTGCTGAGAAATTCTAAGATATACTGATTAGCGTGGGAAGATTCCAGATAAGAGGAGTTGATATGATGAATGAATCATTTCATTTCGATTATGAAGAATATGATAAACATGATTTCTGCTGAGAAAATTCGTTGACGTGTTCCTTTATCAACTGATAAGTTATCATTTCCGTACAGCTTAACTCATAGTATATAAGACAGATAATTTCTACCACACAGCCATGGTAAAGATGAATAAGTGTCTGCTATTTCTCACCATCTTCTTGGGCACTTCGGCAGCCGAGCAGTTCACGTAAGCTGAAATTCCTCTTCAATCATCAATCAAATTATAGCGGGAGATGTGAAAGCTTATCTTGTGCAACACGAGAAGAGCTCGTAGACATCATCACTGGACTCCAAAAAGAAGTATCTACGAACGACATTCGTGGCGCTGTAGGTTATAAATCATTTTAACAATAGAATTATCAGCTGAGAAAACTTTTCTCTACCCTTATCTCTCCAGAGTGTTAATTTTTGGAGTGGAAACTCTGAAGAACTCGCCGTTACAGCTGCACCAGTTTGCAACATTTGTGCTTCAACCCCATGCTTCAATGGAGGAACTTGTATCGCTGATATTAATAAGCCTTTCGCCAAATACTAGTAAGAGTGTAACTGCAAGATCAGTCTTCAGCACTTCACTTACAGTTGTGTCTGCCCTGCTAACTATGGAGGTTCTAACTGTCAAAAGGAAATTAAGTGTACCGATAAGTCATGTGGAACCGGAGCAAGCTGCTTTGTATCAAATCATCAAGTCAATTGTATCTGCCCAGTAGGATCATCTGGTATAACCGTTTCCCAAGATGATGTATGATAATTCTTAACAGGAAACCCACTGAAATCTTGTAATTACAAAACTGTACAAGCTTGTGTTAACGGTGATCCTCATTACACCACTTACGATGGCCTCTACTATGATTACCAAGGTGATTACTTCCCCTCTTCGCACACTGAAATCAAAATACTTCTATAGGAACATGCCCATATGATTTCACTTACCCATGTAACAACCAAAGTTTGTTCAGCTTCAGAGTTGTAGGAAAAAATCATCAAATTTACAATGGGTAAGCGTCAAGCGTCGACTCATTTGACCTAAATATTTCGCAATCTTAGTGTTTCTACCCCTGCGGAAGTTGAAGTAACCTTCTTCGGTCAAAACATCCACGTTGATGCTAGAAATAATCGTCTTTTCATCAACGGAATCCTCACCAACGTTCCATACTACTGGCCTTCTAAGAGCGCAACCAAGGTTCCCTCATAAAACTTTCGACTTGGATACTTACTTATCAATGTTTGTAGTATTCTGTCAAGTACTACGCTGGAGCTTTCCAAATCGTCTCCAACCAGATGATCTCTGTAAGCATGTCTTACGGAAGAATGTGTGTTTCTGTAAGTTACAACTCTCCCCTGCTTCTTAGTATATCCACATCTAGGTGCCACAATCATTGAAGGGAAGTGATGTTTTGTGTGGAATTGCCGGAAACTTCGATAACGATTACAAGAACGATGTTAGATACAAGTATTTTAACATATTCAAACTTAACAAACTTATGAACTTCAGGAATGGTACTGTGTACACCTTGAACAGTCGACATGAACCAACTAACAAGGATGCGCTCGTATTCAACAGAGCTTTGGACACCTGGATCACGACTGACTTCTTGAAAACTGCAGGAACAGACCCCCACTGTATCAATGGCGAAACTATCTACAACAATTCCAACTGTGTACGTGGAACACTCGTTAACGCCGAGTGTTTACTTTTGTTGCAGGACAACTTGGATGCCCAAAGAAAGTGCGAGCCTATCCAGCTTGCCGCCACTGCTGAAGGTCCACTTGCTGCATGCTCTGCAATGACTGCTGATGTCATCAATGTATACATTTCAAATCATGGTTGCCCTAACCTGTTTCATTCAGAACTACTACTCAGACTGTGTCTTCGATGTCTGCCACGAAACTGACCTCTGCTCCGTTCTCACCAACTTCGCTCGTATCTGTCAGGGTCTTGTACCTAGTAAGGATAATAATGAATATGGTGTAAAACACTAAACTTTAATAGATGCCGACCTCAGTACCTGGAGAGCTTCTACTAATTGTGCACCAAAATGCCCATCCAACTCATACTACTCATCTTGTACTTCTGCTTGTCCCGCTACTTGCGCTGACCAAGATGCTCCAGACTTCTGTGATGCTCGTAAGTATCATGAATTAGCTCACCTTAAGACCACTTGACTGTTTATAGCTTGTGTTGATGGTTGCGTGTGCAATACAGGATATGTTTTGGATAACACCGCTCTCGATACCCCTACCTGTGTACGTGCTGAAAAGTGTGGATGTTCTGACCCATATGGAAACTTCCATCCAGGTATTGAATGAAACCTTGTTCTGTTTGGCTTACCAATTTCTCTCTATAGCTAATCAACCCTGGTATGTTGGTAATTGCTCGATCATTGCTGAATGTGTTAATGGCACATACGACAGTAGAGTAAGCTGAGAAACTCTTTCAAACTTTACGTCCCATTTCTTAGATTAATGAATGCTCCCAATACGGTCAATGCGCTATCTTAGGAGGTGGCAAGCTTGGCTGCTCTTGCAAGTCTGGATTCACAGGAGACGGGTAGAATTGAAAAATTGATTTCTCTTTCACCATATCATAACATTCTAGATACAATTGTACCGATATTAACGAATGCTTGGACCCCTACACTTGTGGAGCAAACACTGGAAACGGAATTTGCACAAACACCATTGGTATGAACTATTTTCCAATCAATCATGATCTCATTCTTTCAGGATCATACAACTGTACTTGCAATCCTTACTACTCTGGAGCCAATTGCGAACACTACTATCCACAGAGACATTGTGCTGACTTGTACATGTACAATGGCGTGACTGCTTCAGGAGTTTACACGTTCGTACTTAATTTGAACTTCTATTTATAACTCAATTGCAGAATCTATCCACCTTATAGTATCAATGGAAACCCTCCTTCATCACCAGTACAAGTATACTGCGATATGGACATCAGTAAGTGATGATTTTACAATTCGCTATCTCAGTCCTAAGATTAGTTAGTTCCAATATCGCATTTGAAGAACTTGCGGGGGGACTAAATCTAGTGAAAAGTTATAAAACAAACATACTTATCAGATAAGAACTAACATTTGAAACCTTTTCAAACCAGAGACACAACCGTTCCACGCTTTACAGAGGGAGAAATGATTTCGTGACAGGGGGAAATTAACATATAATTAGAAAAGCAGAATCAGCAATCATATCGCATCTTGAGAAAGCTTAAATGATAGCGCAGTAATCTATCGGTTTATAATTTCACTTTTTTAAGCTTATAATAATGCAAAGGGAGGATGGACCCTTATGTCACATGACACCGCCGATTTGATGGCAAACAAGTCTCTCAATTCTTATAAGGTTCGCATTCCCTATCAGCAAAATACAATTCTAGTGTAGGCTGGATTCGGTGATGCTAAAACTAAAAACTTATGGCTCGGACTCGATTTCATTCACAAAATGACAAGCTCTATCGACACAAGGTTGGAAACTTGAAACTGAATGAGACTCACTGATCACTTTTTTCAGTCTTTATGTAAACCTCTTCCATTGCTCCGAAAACGGAAAACCATCTGAGTACAGATTCTGTAACTACAGACTCTTCACTGTCAATGATGAAGGTTCAAATTATACCGTTAACATTCCAGAGGTAAGCGAGATGATCCGGGATTGCTTTAATCAGTTAGTTTCCAGACTTGCCAAGGAACAGCATCAGACTTCAAGGATGGATGGGCTCGTTGGAAGTTATCTGAGCCCGGACCACCATTCCTCGCCTATGACAAGGATACTAGCCCATGTGAGAAGCTTGAAAATTCACACTGATTCTAACCTTTACTCCTTTAGACTCTTGCTCAAGCACTTTCCGAAACACAGGTTTCTGGTTCGACACAACCATCCGATGCGGATCAGCAGACTTGAATGGAGTAAGACATAGTAATATCTGAAATAGTTTATTTATCATATAATGTTCAGGTCCGCTTCTCTTGTGATAACATCCCAGATGATTCCTCCGAGTCATCTTACTTATATTGGAACGGATCTCCAATCGGAGATGCCTGGATGTACCTTCGTCCTTCCGCCTATCCTACCTACGATCGAGCACCTACTGGTAGCTTTTAAAAAGAAAGGATGTAATTCTTGTAAAAAATATTAAAATCATTACGATTATCTCATAGCTAATAAATTCATATGAACTATATTATACTTTACAAAACCCGAAATGGTAAATACATATATATATATACATATACATCTGTACAGGCACATATTATTATTTTTTACTCGTCCTTATGCAAAGGTAACTTGGGCCAAGGCAGCCTATATCCCATGATGAAGCTGGCAACATGATTTGGATCATAATGAAGATCACAGAGAACATAATTAGTTTTCTTGGATCCTAACCGTTTCCTAAGTAACTCTTCTACATGAACATCGTCTTCAGATAAGCTCTTCAACCATCTGAACAAATGGAGTTTGAACTCAAACTGAAGAACAGAGGAACTTATCGACTGTAGCTTCTATTTTCGGAATATTGATACACCTAACTGTATCCACTTGTAGTGAGCAATAGATACATCGAACTATCTGAAACGTGAATAAACTTATTGAACTCAATAACAACCGAACCTGCTTTTTCGTTTTACTAACTTCAATCATCGTGTTTAGTTTGCTTTCACTATCTATTTCCGTTTGTGTTGATAACGCAGAGTCTGATAATAATATAACATCATTGCCATCATTTTTTTCGGTACTGGTGGACTGATTGGGCAAAACATCATTTTTCATAGTTTTTCTTTTGAAATTAGAAATATCATAAGACCCTTTTTGGAGTATAATATTATCTCTTTTATACGAATTTATAAGATAGTTCACCATATGTTCAGTTTCACTGACACTCATGACTGCAAATAATAGATTAACTGTAATAGGAATAAACCAATAAAACCGAAACTTTCAAAAACGTTCGATTCTTCTATCGCTAAGTTGTTCACTACTTTGGCTCTCGGTTCGATCGGAAGAACTTCTATGAAATCCTATAACAATACTATATGTCAAACCATGCAACTATCTCAACGCACCTCCCCATCGTCTAACTCTACAACACATTCTAATAAACTTTTATCTCGATCGGGCATCCTGAACATGATAAACAACTGCTGAAGGCATAAATAAAATGATATGATAGGGTCAAAACGCCAGGAGAAATAAACTCTGAGCTTCTTTCTTTAAGATTTTTAATATTAGCAAAAAAACAGTATTAGTATGCAGCATAAAACATGTGCCTCTTGTACATGCAACAAAATTAACGAGGTCAGTAATGGGGATGGTGATCCAGCCCATGGTCCACTACATCTATATGATCTTGATCATAATCTCCATCAGCACCTTCCGTGCCATCCTGAAGCTAAAACAATAGGACAAATCAGGCAAAAGCTGACTTACCAGATCTCTATTCATTACATATCTATTTGGATGGACATTCTGAACTACTTCAGCATACTCTCCAGATGATAGACGGACCTTAGCAATACATGAATTTAGCCCAAACAAATTTTATACTCACCATTTTCATATGATGATTCATTAAATCGTCTCTTTCTCTATACATATTCTTTAAGGATGACGAGATCAATGTTTGTGGTGCAGCCATAGTTACGAACGTCTGAGCTGTACCGTCTCTTTGAGATCTAAATTAATAAAACGTATTGGAACGCCCAAGTCTCAAGGACAAACCTTTGCCTGGCAACAACTTCTGGAACTTTAAACCTCATTCTATGGAACCGTTGCATATGTTGATAAGCCGTTCGTTGGATGTGCATAACACGCTCCTCGTTGAAGTGCTCCTAATATCAAAACAAGTTATGTGTTTTCAGAGAACTCTTTCTTACCCCTTCACGGATCATGAGGAACAGAGCTGAAAAGTACTTCTCAGCTTCTTCTTCCTTATCTTCCTTTAATTCTCTAATGAACTAAAAAAAAATTGTAAAAGTAATTGTAGAAGCTTTTGTACTCACGTGAAGAGGTTTACCAACATGGTTTCCTTTTACATGAGAAATACATTCGTCCTCAGTATAAAAATATTCTTTTACACAATACATACAGCGATAAGGTCGATATCTGAAAGTTAAGATAGATGCAGTTTAAACAGTTTTCACTTACTTTAAATGGACATTCATTATATGATACTCCATAGCATGCCATGTTTTCAAAACACAATGACAAAATGTACAATATGGCAAGCCTTTATCATCTGTAAGAAAAACTTGACTCGATTACAGTCATGATTCACAAACCTCTCAAAATATCATAAGCAGCTGCATCCGGAATGGTATCACTTAAAGGAATTGGGTGGGCTTCCACTGATATCGGAATGGCAAACTCAACACCAGACTGTAACCATTAAAAATCATTCAGAGAAAATAGTTAATTTGAAAAACACAGCCACACCCAAGCCGTTGAAATTCAAAAATGACGCGTGAACTTCATGACGCCCGAATTAGCATATTCACAAGTTAGGAGCAGTAGTGAACAAGAGGGAACAAAAAGACAAAGCAACGGCAACACAATACAAAGAGAAAAGATTTGGAAAAAGACTCACAGGATGAACAATAGTAGGCCGACCACTTCGGCGAGCAGCTTCTGTACGAGAAATAGGTTCAGTTTCGGAAGCAAAAGAGTTCGGCCTCCTTCCTGCAAACAGATGCATCAGAACAGTCTACTTCACCAACCTACCTCGCTTTCCAGGAAGACCTGGGACTCTCTGATTAGGTACAGTTTGCTGAGGAATATTAGAATGATCTTGAGCTAGAATTTCTAAAATTATTTAAATCAATCGGTTAGACAGAGCACACTACCTTCGGGCGTTCTTTTTCGTCTCATATAAACTCTTTTAAGCCCATTGCCAGTAGATATATCGGAACTAACAATCATTTTCTCATCATGATTCCTACTAAGTGAGCATTCAGCATTCGGAACAATCTCACTAGGTTCTACATTGATATCCTGTGTGAATTTGATTAGTATCTGCGAGTGTTCAAATGAAAACCTGATGCATAACTCGGCGGACAAGCCGACGCCCGGCCACCTGAGTATGTGAAGAATAATTCTCTATAGCTTTTCCCTCATCAACAGCCTAAGAGAATTAATTCATACATAATTTTCTCACACAAAAAGCATTATCAGGTCTCAAAGTAAACATATAAAATTAACATACATCGACGTCTTCATTAACAGCTGATGATGAGCCCTGCTGCTGCAAATCATGGACTATCTCATCAATCTGAACTGGATTTTCACTTTCTTCCATCGAGCTACTGAAAACCCATAGTTTATAATTAGCATAGTTAATTTTTATAAAAAAATAGAAAAATATATTAATAAATCGGTCCCAGTCCGAGAGCGTGGTTTTTCGGTCTCGCCACGATTGACGTTTGTCATTAGGGCGAACTTCAATCCAGAAAAATTTGCTCGGGTCAGCAAACAAAAAAATTTACTAATATGGTAATTAACACAATGGAAGATACAACGTTTATTTATGAGAAATCTAGAACAATGGATAATCTAAATGAAATAGGAGTAATCCTCCCGTTAGTAATGTTCATCTACTTCTTGGCCTTGTTATCAAGCTCAGCAAGACGCTTCTCGTTTCTTTGAACAGCCTGTTATAACAAAACAAAAATAAAACAAGAAAAGAAAATTAAAAGTTACATTGCGATGATGCTCAATCTCCTTAAGGATTTCGTCTTTCATCTCGCCAAGTTGTTTCTTTTGCTTAAAGATTCATATGAAGGAAAGCTTTTTTCGATAAGCTATACCTCATCGTAGAAGTACTTGTCTTCACGAGCAGCTTCCATCTTTCCGAAAGCTCCTCCGGCACTGCGGATAGATCCTCCGCTTCCACCTCCCTAATTCGGAAGATATAAATCATCTAATTACAATAAACTAACTCTTCCAGCTCCATCTCCTGGTCCTCCAGACATGGCACGAACGAACAACCTGCAAACCATTCGTTACAGACTCGGTTACCCGAAAAGGCACATAGTATTATGAGGGTGACAGAAACATCTCGAATGATTCAGATAGAACTTACTTAGCAGAGTTAGAAACGGTTGAAGTAACACGAAGAGACATTCTGAAAGAAGAAGTTTTAGTTATAAGCATCTACAACCATTTGAATATGAGCATCGCAACGAGCAAATGGTAGCAAAGAGTCAAAATTAAAAAAATGTTTTTTTTAAAAGAAAACAAAATAAAAATAAAAATTGCAGCACAACAAGAACGCGAAGGACGGCTTTTAGAGTGTTTAACTGTTCTTATCGTTTCGTGACCATTCAGAACAGCAAAAAAGACCAATCAATAACGAGCCTGTGTATCTTGTTTCATACACACATTTACACGGAAAAAGATAATTCAACATTAAAATTTCGGAAGAAAACGCGGAACATATACTTCATAGCAACCACTACAACGTTGTTTTCGAGAAAATTCTAGCAAAAAGAGCAGTAGGTCACATGTCGACGGGCTTGGCGCCGACGAAGTTAAGCGCCAACTGAGTTTTAAGACAATATCATCAGGTAAGTAAGATCTTGGTTCTATTACGACCATCAGATGGAACATAGAAGTCATATGAACATTTATTAAAAATTACAGTGAAAACATGGTAAACTTAAAGCTTATTCACCGTTATGAAACCTATGAGTGATATACAAGTATGAATTTGAGTGGAATATTTTAGAAAAATGAAAAAAAGAAAGAAAAAACTTTCTTGAGATTCTGAAAAAACCGGTAAAACCTCTTAATCTTGAAATTCGCATAGTAAAGAAGGTGATGTTTGAGTGTGAGTGAAACAATCTGTATTGAATAAGTTCATAGCACTTACCGTGCAGAATGCAAACTCCGATAACTGAAGCACGTGAGATGTTTGAGATGAAAGAGTCGAACCCTAGGATAAACTATGGATACATATTCCTCCAGTTGGGATTTCCAGCTTGTATGTTCGGATGTGGCTGCTGGTGTTGTTGCTGGTGAGATTGTTGATGTTGTTGCTGATGAGATTGCTGGTGAGCCTGTGGGTGAACCTGTGGATGAGGCTGCTGATGTGATTGTTGTAGAGATTGCTGGTGAGCCTGTGGGTGAGCTTGTGGATGAGGTTGTTGGTGAGTTTGCTGGTGAGATTGCTGTTGATGTTGTTGGGGATGGGGTTGCTGGAGAGACTGTTGATGGAGCTGATGAGGAATCTGTTGTTGGAAATTCGGATTCATATTGTGTTGTGGCATGTTCATTTGCATCGTTTGTGCTACGTGTGGAGGTAGGTTATGTTGAGGAATGTTCTGTTGCGATTGTAACATCTGCGCATTCATTTGGTTCTGCTGCATCATCATATCACCTTAAGAAAAAATTGATAACTCGTGTAGCAGGATAGTTTACCTGGCAGAACATTATTAGGATAAGGTCCAGAAGGTCTTTGAGCGTTCGCATTTCCTGCAAGAATTCGATAGTAGTGTCGATCACTGGAAACTCACTCATATTATTCTGTTGCATTTGATACTGATGCCCAGAATATTGCACAGGGTTTCCAGCACCTCCTCCAGCCAATACACCTTGCGGGTTCATTGGTAGGTTTCCATGCGCGTATTCGCCGAATTGTGGAGTCATCTGAGTTTTTTGAACAGTTGTACAAAATATCCATCTTTATGATTAACCTGTATGCCGGCGTTGAACCGCAGTCTCTTGTTCGATGGTTCATCAAGACCAGGTGGAATGATGTTACCAATGGTGGTGGTGTATTTCATATCCTAAGGAAACACATTAAAAAAACTGTTTTCATGCTAACCGTAGTGAATGTTTGTGCAGTTGTTACAACTTGAGGAGGTTCTTCAACAGGGGCTGGCTTTTTCTCAGTATCTACCAGGAAGTCACGTTTCGAATAAGGGATCTCGAACTTCCCGAACACATCTTCTGTTAATCTAGGTTCAGTCTGAAGAATAACGAAAAATTAAAATAACTGACGAACTGATGAACCTTGAAATAAGGATCATCCATAGCATCTTTACAAGTGATTCTCTTGTTCGGATCCATAGTAAGAAGCTTGAGCATAAGTTTATATTGTAAACTGTCATGTTCAACCCCTTTGTGCTTTTCAATATATCTCTGCATACTAGCTCCGGCAAAACTAACACTGGAAACATAGTAATCATGACTGTTCAAGAAAAAAGACAAACTTGTTAGCTTTAATATCTTGTTGCAGCCTACCGTACTCAGGCATTTTCTTGAGATCAGGCCAATCACTTTCCGTCGGATACCCCATAACAGTGAAAATCCTTGAACGCATAACGAGTAAGAACAACAACAAAAAGACGAACGAAAAACCTTTTTAATTGATCGAAGTGATAGGGACTCTGAGCTTTGATATCCTCTTCTTTACAAAAGAAGATGGGCTCAGCAGTCAGTAATTCAACAAAGATACAACCTATGGCCCAAACATCGATAGGCTTAAACATCTTCTTAGTAAGGAAAAAAAAGTAACTAACTTTGGAATAATGCTTAGCTCCTAAGAGAAGTTCTGGAGCACGATACCAAAATGTAACAACTACTGGATCTAATTCGGCTAAGGGTTTCAAAGGTGATTGAAAAATACGAGCAAAACCCATATCAGCGATTTTAACTCTAGAAACGGCTTGATAAAATAACACGTTAAAACAAAACAAGAAACCTTCCACGCACTCCACTTGGTCCATCACCCATCACAAGAATATTCGCAGGCTTTAGATCTCTATGTAGAACCCAGTTTGAATGAAGATAGTGGATACCTGAAGCGACAAACTTGGGTCTTCATTAGGAAAAATTCAAACCATTTAAAATCTGATACAGTATACTTTTGACCATGCCTTTAGCTACCATTATAGGAGTTTTCTTAGCTCTCGCAGCTCGATGACTTTTAATTATATGCCAAAGATCATGCTCAGCGTAATCAAGTAGTAGCCACACCTAAACAGACTAGAATTCATATTTTGATAACTTCACTTACTTTTCTTTCAACTGTTAGGAAAACTCTTTGTAAACAAATCAAGTTGGGATGTCTTAACAAACAAATACTATAAATTGATAATGATAATAATCTTACTTTAATTCTCTTAATAAAGCTATTTCTCTGCACGCCGACATAGATAATCCTTGTCCCTCTATCAATTTCAACCCGTACATTTTGGCAGGGTACCGTTCGGACGGTGCTTTAGGAGTTGCTTTAAATACATGTCCATAAGTACCTCTACCAATCTATAACCATCCTGTTATACATAGACATGCTCTTTTGCAAACCTTCGCCCCTTCGAAGTAAAACAAATCTTCTACTCGTTCACGCGTTCGTGTAAGCTTTTCCCGAAATTGGTAATCTATCATGCTTCTGTAAAAATTCAAATAACAATTGAATCTGTGATCAATAGATAATGGAATTCGTGTTAATAATGAAATTGTTAAGTAAAAGTTTCTCAAGTTAACCAAAGTCGGAGGTATTACTGAACCAGGCTACAACAATTCGTGAACCAATGCGAAAAAATGTTTTGGAGCGCGCTTTCTAAGGAGTCGAACCAAAACAGATATATAAATGTCTTATTATGGAATTCGCAACCTAGCAACTCATTAGAAGACAAATGGCAGAAATCAAATGAACCCACGTATTTTTAGGTTTGGCTCTATTCATTATTATATATATGGAGGTATCTGAAACAATCACTATAAGTTTTTGATATAAAAAGAAAAGAACACAGATTAGAACAACCGTCCTATAAAACAGTGGAAAATGCGAATGACGCTGTGAACATTATCAGAAATCACCCACGCCTTTTACGTGGAACAACGTGTCATTTGCATGAAGGCTATCTATTCATCATTATGCTAATTAGCACTTAACTATCAACAAACAATCACACGAAATTCCTTCGAAAATTCCATTTTAAATAATAAATGAAAAACCTTTTTATGCGATTTTTATCGAAAAATGATAATCAGAACAATACGGAAAGCAGAATGATAAAAGTACAAATGATTCTTGGAATAATAAATTGCTCATCGAACGTTTCTTGAAAGATGGACGATCGGTTGACCCAGCGAAAAGATAAACCATCGTTTGAGACTAGTTTTCGGATGAAATGTATGTTGTAAACCTTTTTTTACACAACCTTCTGTAACTGATTCATGGAATTGTTCTCTCCAGAGAGTATCTGTGGAAGTTTTTCCAATTGAAAGTTCAATATGGATGACTGAACAATGGATGTTGGCGAGGAAGTACAAAATGTGGTTACATGGCAGAGTTTAAATGAAATATTCGTTTTTAATTTCTATGAAATAATTAGCTTCGAGCTGCTTCATCAATTAAGCTGAAGCAATGTGGAGAAGCATTCGGAACAGTTTCGGCATTCATGAGCAAGCAGGCATTATCATGTGTGTGAAGGTTAGCCACGGACTTTCGCTCATCTCCCTTCACTTTTCGCTGTCTTGAGAATCGATGAAACATAAAGGCGATTGACTCTTTCATTAAACAAACATCTGATCATTTGATGATTGAATGAAACCTAAATCCCGAAAGGATTCTCAATCTACAAGTAGAGAATAAAGAGGAAGAAGCGCCAAAAGCTATTTGACACCAACAACTACCTTAATTTATATTGTAATGTTATACAAACGATTGTCGGCTCATTGCCAAAGAGCAATACGGTATTACCAAATAGTCCGAGTTAACTCCCGCAGAGCTGTTCAAGACGGTTGGATATAATTGGCAACAGACAGGAGTCAGGTTGCCAACAATCTTCCCCTTATCTTGCCAAAGCAGTACGACCTCTCGACCTTAATAACCCGCTGAGAGTACAAGACTATCCAATTAAAATTACTCATCATTATGGAAGTAGTCATATGATTCCATCTGCTGCATAACCATCTATGAAAGACAATGAACAGGCAAAAATCAAAAAAAGTGGAGGCAGCAGAGATGAGGAGGGAGATCAATTTGTAGTGCAAATGGCGGTCAAGTGTAAGAGAACCAAAAACAGTTGTAAGATTTGAACTCTCAAACCGGCATTGTACTTGCCCTTGTACATCCGAACGCTCAAGCAGCAATTTCCAATTTCAATGCGGCTTCTCATATATGCTGATATTTGAAGTCAAAACCTTAGAATAGTAAATGTTGCCAATATATGACGTTTTATAATATATTTCTCTATATCTGTTCGACATTCTTCTTGAATATGGTCAGCTCGATTGAGCGCGACGACAATTTGATGAGAAGACAGACGACACTCACGCGAGGGTTTACGACGGGATTCATATTAGCCACCGTATGTCATCGTCTGATTGACAGCCATTTCATGGACTCTAACTGTTTTATGAGCAATCAATCGACAGCTTCACTGGAGAACACGATTGTCTTTCACAATTTGCTTCAACTAGTCCACAGTACATCTCTCCGCACTACTGTAAGAACGATCCCGGAAATCAGTTCAACCCCTCATGCTCTGGCACTCACATCCATAATAAATCGTTGCAGATGTTCCTTGTAAGCTTCAGATGTAACACTCTGGGTGGAAAGACTTGAATTACATAATTTAAATAAGTCAAGCAGGTGTTAAGCTTCATGATACAAGTAACGTTGATGAATAAACATTTTCTGTTTACACTTAATGTGAGGTCATCTTCTTGTAACTGTCTCCCCCCCCCCCACAATACCCTTGCCATGAAATTATTATTGAGCCCTCTATCCCTTCCATTCATAATTGTATACTCAGACATTTTGCTAAAATCCTGTGCTTGAGAGGTGGTAGTCTGGAAAGTAGATGTGGAGATCAAATAAGGCAATAACTGCTTGATTCTCGGATTTCGAAGGACCTGCCGGCTAGAAATGCAGGTGCAGCCTCTCGTCTTTTATCTCGTTAACTTCTGTCTCTCATTCAATTCTCTTCACTGGATATTCACCTAGAACGACCTCTCAATCAAAGTAATTGGCAAATATTCTGCATGATTTTCAGTCTTCCACTTCTGATGCCCTCAGCTTCTGGCATATTTGATTACGCTTTTCACGTAAATCCATCAGAAGCCATGATCAAATTCTTAGTTTTGAATTAAAAAAATGAAAATGAAAGTTTGACTCACAAGAGTTTCTCCCCTTACATGACATGACGCGAATCTGAACCGAATCCTTCCTGCCCATTTTCCAGTTCGATGGGTTAAGTTTAAAACAAATTATTAATAGTTCAATATGAAATTCAAAATTTTAATTTGATCCGCTCTGTGACGATGAACTAATGAAACATGAAGAGAAGGAAGGAAGGAAGGTGTCACTGAGTTGTAGAAGATGGAGGAGAATAGTAGACGATGATTCCCTAACAAGCTTTTCCATACTTGCTTAGAAACTGAGCTGTGTATCAACTGAGACTGGGAATATAAAACTTGAAATCCAATTCCAATCTTCACACACTCCCATATTTAATAAATTCGTGAGAGATGGGTAACTTTGATAGGTATCTCACATTTTCAATACATTCTTTAGTAAGGAATCTAACAAGATATATCCTTATTTGAAAAATTGAACGAACAAGTAGTGGAAGGAAGAAGGAAATCTTAAACAACTCAATTTGTACCGTAATCTTCCCTCATCTTTCACACTTTCTATAGTCTGACCTTTGTACAGACAGATGTATTTATACAGAAGGTAACGAGATGAATCATCTCATACGCTTCACTTCAATTCCCGTCATACACAAAATGAAAATTACAAACATCTAACGATTCCGGAACCTGTGAGAAAACTAATTGTTTCGACCCTCAATCTATTTTTTCATTCCGTTACACTTTTGCTACCTTAGACTTACTTTCTTGACACTCTCTCTAACCTGAATCTCAGCACATACCGTATAGTGCGTAGTTGCTGCTCTTCCCAATCACATGGAAACCTGCTAGGCTTTATCTCCCTAACTCACTTTAACCAGTGTTTATTCGACATACATGACAATTCTATGTATCCCAAAAACCTACTTCATCATTTTTGAAGTAAGAATAGGGGCAGCTGGCGCTGGTTGGCAGTCAACTCACGCACACCACGTCCTTTTGGAAGTCAGCATGCCGACAAGCCTAAATATGGAACAAGCTTTTCATAATTCTCACTCCATCTTCATTGACTTACAAATGCTGACCCCCGAAAGTTTCATTAACTGATATTCTCCGGCTTGAATATGGAGAAAACATCCAACCCAAAGTGTTCAACAGCCATTGAGAATTTGTTGATTCTGTGACAGTTGTTGCAAGAATGTCTTTCCAGTTTATCTCTTCCAGTAAGAAGCTTTTGCTATCCTTAAGCTTCATGGCAATTACCCATCGGTGCGGTATGCATTTTTAACAAAACGTTGATTGAAATAAATTGGCTGGCCATCTCTGCTTGTCTATGCATTGAAACGATGCGCTTCTTTACGCAACACACATTCATTCCACATACATATACATGACCATATATATCTATATCTATATAGATAAATATATAGAGATAGATAGACACTTTAATTATACGAAAATTCACCGATTACGGTAACGATTTATAGCTGTTTTCCAACATTAGACAAGCTGTGGTGTAGAGATCTGTTATGCTTCAACATTTCTTCACCTCATACTCTTTTTACTTATTCTCACATTCCCTTTTCCCTCCCTATCTCTCATTCTCTCTATATCTCTTCATTCACCTTCATATCTCGCAGGTTCATCGTTTTTGCCATATTTTCAGCTTGCTTTTTACTCCCATCATCTACCTCTCTTGATTCCTTACCAAAGTCATGCTTCCCTCCACTATATGCAAGAAAATGAAGATATGGAAGAGAAATTATGTTTATAGGAGCTCCCCTCTCTCTCTCTCTCTCTGTGTGAAGGGAAGCCACCAAAATAAATGTTCGAACAGGATTCGAAAGTTAAAAAAAACCTGATATCAAGAGAAACTAGCTATAAACGATCATGTTTTTGCTTCTACTATCTCATAAATTAAGGTATGTATTACAGTACTCCAAGCAATCAGAGAAGTAAATGTAAATTGGATGGAATGCAGGTTACGGTAGTTGCGACATTAAGAAAGTGTGATGATGGAATGTGTAAAAAACGTTATAAACATAAGCATCTTCTTCCCTATATGAAACTTCTTTTTTTTCTTCTTTTCTTTTTACTATTGTATATGCAAAGATGGGCTGGAATCCTCATCGAGCTTCATGCACTCGGTTTTTACTCTTTTAATTCAGAGAGTGATCTTCTTTTCGTTTGCTGTCATCGTCCTTTAATTACTCATTCGTATTCCATAAGCGACTAAGACGTTTCACTGAATTTGCATCCAAAATTGATGAATAGGCTGTGATGTTGTAGAGAGAGAATTCCCCCGTAAAGATATTGTTTATACATTAAATCATCCACAATATGCGTGAAAATCAATACAGTTTTTCAAAATCGCTATGCTAATTTGGTCCTCAAGACCTCATCTATGGAAATGAGACTAACGAGATACGTCAATGTGTTTATGTCTATATCTATGTGTGTGTGTGTGAAAGCACACAAATTCAAAAAGTGAACAATGGAAATCAAAATGAGTTACTCATACCAATTAACATTCTATGATTTGTCAAATTCAAATATCTCATATTGATGAGAACAAGTATGATTTATATGATGAATGTTGGAATGCAGATGAAAGTAGAAGATGAAGAAGAAGAGTTGCTGAACTTACCTAAGAGCAACCGTTCAACACGTCATATACATCTCCAAATGAAAGTTGAAAGCGTTTCACGTGAATGACGTGACTTCACGTGAAAGCTAGGAATATGCAAATATCTGAAGAAATGAAAAAAATAAAATGCAAATGAAGTATTAATATTGTAATGAGGTAAATAGTAAGAGTAAAGAGAGATATAGAGAAGGAGAGAGAGAGAGAGAGAGATGTAAGAGAAGGGAAGTTTCATTCTGTAATTGGAAGTGAGACAGAATGATTTATAAAAACAAAATAATTAAATAACAACAAGTTAGGAATGAATTAATACTATATGGTTATAGTTAGTACATTATTTTATTCATTTAGCTACTGTTCATTACAATTTTCTTATTTTTATGACCTCAAATGTACGACAGCCGAACCATGGCAGTCAATAGGTTTGTTAATATGAGCCGTATGTCTTACCGCATTTAGTTATTCGCTCTCTGCAACCATAACATAAGATGAGCAACTAAGAATATGTAAATCATTATGGATAATGCAATTATGAGAGAGTCGAAAGATAACATTTTGTGTGAAAGAATCATTGGAGATGAGGATAACCTTCTACGGTTCTTTTCTTCACTTCTGTCGTCAATGTGACAGATGGCTCAGATACTGTCTGTCGTCGTTCATCCTGACTTGCCAACTCATTTCGTCTTCTAATTAACTTGGATAATTTACTCTACGTTTTCTTAAGTCGAGAAGCTAAACTGTTTCAACTATCTTCTCAAATAAATATTTGAAGAGCTTTTCCCTTTTTTGTTTTAATTAGAAACAAGGCTTTAACGGCTATCAATCATCTTTTATACAAAATCATCTGTCATGTAAGTTGCAGAGAATGAAGAGGATCTTTTCTCTCATTCCCTCTCAGTCTATCTATCTCTCTCTCTCTATTACCGACTTAGATCTATGTTCATTCAGATGTTCATGTAACTCAAAACCCCGTTTAACACCTTTTGCCTTTTTCTTATTCTCACTTCTCTAGCAGTCCCTCCTCCCTCACAGCACCTGTCTAAACAGTTCCGATACTCATAACTAATGAGTTCAAAGCTTCAACTCTGATGAGAAAAACATCATCTGCTCATTCAAAATCTTTGACGTCATGAAATTTCCAAATAAGCAAATCATCATCTTTTTGTCTTTCAAAGCTCATTCTTCTACTCACAAATGCATTCTTCTTCTCTGGGATTCAGATTGTTCGTTTAGATGTACTTATGACTTCTGTAAAGCTCCAAACATCTCCCTTTCTCTTCTATTTTTACGATTCACTCAGTTTTTTCTATTTTTAACGAAGAAAAATCATCTGAACATCTTCTACTTTATACTTCATCTCTTCCACTCCATAATTGGTAGAGTTACGTGTCTCCTAATGACTCAAATGCTTATGACTGACGTTCTCATCACCCGTAAGCTTCAGAAGGCATCAGTCCATTCCAGAGGTTACTTAATCTGTAAATTATGGCATTTTCCATAAGCAGGCATGATGTAGTCCCTCCTAAAGTATGACACTCTCTCGTTTGGCTCATTTTCACGAACCGATTTCCCTTGGGTCATCTGCTGACTGAGTCCAGGAAAAAAAGGATTGTTAGTCAGTGTCATAGCTTTTCTCATTTGTGAATTTCAATGAAAATAACAAGACCCGTGATAATGATTAAGCCTCAGCCCAGCATAGGTCAACAAGCATTGATTCGCACTGGCGAATAATAAAGTTTTTACTTTTCCACGTAAACTCCTTATTTGGCAGGAATTTCAATGTAGTTATTCTACAGATTCACTCTGTCTGCTTCGTTGGATATTCATCGATTCATGGCCAAATCAGAAACGTGCCCTCAGGCAATTTGTCGGATGTTTCCGCCAATGCTTAATAATACATGCTTTTTCATCGTTATTTCCTTCAGTTTCTACTTTTATATGTTCTTTTTCATATTTCTTGTTCATTTTTACATTCTGAGCTTGGCTTCGACGTAGTCCAACCTCCCATTGCCCCTGATATCCTCCTAATTGAGGGCGTGGTAGAGGAGATGGGCGTGGCCAACCAATAGGAGGCGTCGGATGAGGTTGGAGAGACTGAGTGCTGAGTAGACGAAGCTAAGCATATCATCACACCACGTAGTTTTGAGTCTCACTTTCACAAGTATTTTGTTATATTAAAGCTGTATTCGTTAAGCTGTTGAATGTTCTTCATCTCGTCATTCCAATCTTTGTGAGCATTGAGCAGCTCTCATTCGTCTCACGTGTAATGAAATCTGGTGAATTGACGTGATTGGAATGAAGAGAGTGGATGACTAAAAAAGTATTTTGCCGCAAGCTTTTCCTCCATTTCGTGTTTTCGTTTCGCTAGCATTGACGTTTGGGGCATAGTACCTGTTAAGTAAGTATTCCTCAATTACCATTCATAATCTAATAAGTGAGGAAAAGTTTAAGAGTCTGAAATCTGAAGTAACTTCCTTGCCTAGTCACAAAATAACATTTTGTTGTCAGAGAGAGATAGATAGAGAGAGAAGGAGGGAGGGAGAATGAGATGGAGAGTTCTCTAAGTTGGAAAGGTCATGGTTTGAATATAAGCTTGAATATCCTAATACGGTAGCATATCAGTTGGAGTTAGATTGAAACGAACATTCTGCTTTGCTCATATGCAATATGACTTCTTTTATTACTTGACCATCGTTCATCTTTTATTATATGTTTTTCATTTATTAAGAGATATGTTTGTTTCGTCCTTTCAAGCTGCAGCAATCTTGAAAGCTCTACCTGCAGCTGTCGATTAGCAGCTTCTGACATGACAAGTCCATATTAGGAGTTTTATGCTAATTTCCATTTTGCTTCTGATATTTTTCCTCTAAAAGCTTGTGTCATGTCTTTATTTCCGTATTCAATCGGACTCTTTACTTCTTTCAACAATGAAGTTCTAAAGGAGTTGCTTAGAACAGATTGATCCCTTGGGACTTCAACTATCTAATCAACCTCAGCAAATGAACTTAGAACGAGATTTCGTGTATCCTCCATTTCCTCCTGATTTCAACTAAAACACTTTGTTTCGTTTGATTTTTTTGAGCCAATCTTCGATGTCAGCAATTCTTCTATTATTCAGATCACATGTCCTCTTCTCTGTTTGTCCTTTACATCGTACCATCTCAGAAATGCATCGAAATCTCCACTGCTTCTCCTTTTATGGTTTTTAGCTCCAGATTTTCTATGCTTGTTCGAGATGAATGAGCTCATCACACTCTCTTCTCTCACTCCCAACACCTCATTTTTTAATATGTTTTCGACTTTTACTCTTCTTCTCTTCTCGTTTTCACAACCACCACATGCAGTCAGTATTTGTATGTTTCAGAATAAGCTAAATATGGACTTAGCTGGAGAAGCAGCATCATCAACATATTCTGTTGCAAGTCTGTTAGGTGAACGAACAAAACCGAACACAGACAAGGTTGATGTCGCTTCTGTCGTGGAGAACGACATTAATTGGCAAAAGATGTCAGCAGCTTTAGCTGTCCAACAGAAGCTACTCCTTATGCAACAAGGTTCGTTAGACTACTCCTTCTAGTGATTGTGAGAGAATGCTACTTATTACTTCCCACTTGACTCTTTTGTCCACGTGAAAAACCAAAAAGAAAGTTTTGAAAATGAAAATTTGTGGTAATCAGCTAAACGTCGAAGAGAGCTATATGAAGCTGAAAACTCGTTTAAGCTTGCTGTCTACCCACATACCCACTATCTCTACGTTCCAAACATCATTGAATGCTTGCTCATTCTCATAGTCGGTCAATACGCTGAAAAATCTTCCAAACTATAAACATGGAAAACATTTTTTTTCGCCCTGAAACCGGTGAAGATTCAATGCCGGCGCTCATCTTGCATTCAAAAATCAATTGAAGTAGTAGTAGTCAGCAGAAGCTGAAATTATCTTTTTGTCATTGAATGGCTAAAGCAGAGAACAATCAAAGAAATAGAATCTCGAACTGCTCTCTGGAGGAAAATTTTTGAGGCATTTGACTCGGCTGTTCAGCATCAGCACAGTTCGAAGTGATCATCTGCCCTCCCAAAAGAAGATTTTGCTGCGAGTAGATAAATCATGAATTAACGAGCTGTCAACACAAGCTTCAACTCAAATCTTTGTTCCAAACTCTTTTTATTTTCTGTGAAGAAGTAGAAGAGAAGAGTAGGGAGAGAGAGGATGAGGAAAGGATTCTCTTGTTACTTCTCCAATTCTGAATGTTTTCTCTCCTTTATTGTTGACAAATCACCGACGTTGTTATTTCATATTTTTTACCCTATAATAATGCTTTTTAATGAAAAAAAAAGCGTAAAAATCCATTGTTTTTCCATAAAATCTCTTCTCATCCAATCAGAACCACCGTAATCCTTTGTTCGACGGCTACATAACATGTCGTGCAAACCCCAAAAGCACACCCTACTAGAGCCTCCGCCAGTCAGCGAGAGATATGGGCGGAGCCTGAAATCTCGGCAACACCCATTGATTTTGCTGGGATTCTGTAACTTCTGGAGACGGTATCTGAGATTACTGAGAGCTAGAAGAAAAAAAAAGAGAAAAGAAGGATATCTACGATATACTCATAGTATTCATTGCAGCCATGTCACCTCTACGATTACCAATGCCTGCTATGCCTTTAATACCAACCATGCCTTTTGGCATAAGCCCAGCCAATTTCGGTCAGGTTTCCAATCCAAACATACTCCAAGGACAATTACGCCAAATGCTTAGTATATTGAATATGCAACGGATATGCGATGTAGTAAATGCCATCAAAAATGATAACAAGCATTTCTCTGTTCAGAATTTCGTTGTGGATGATAACACGAAGGCTACATCTTCCTCATCTCCAGATAATGGTTCAGCCACGGCCACCCCCACAGTCATTGAGTCTATGATTAGTTGCAACAAGTGTAATAAAGTTTTTGCTTCATCAGCAGCTTTAGAGGTTCGTGGATGAGAAACATTCTACCGAAAAACTTATCTTTGGCAATTTCTTAAGGTTCATCAGCAGGTTCATGCTTCAGATAAGCAGTTCGAGTGTAACCAATGTGGAAAAACGTTCAAAAGGTTGAAACACTTGAAACAGCCCGTATTCTCTTTTTATGAACAAATTTCAGATCGTCGACTCTGTCAACACATCTTCTTATTCATTCTGATACTAGGCCATATCCATGTGAATTTTGTGGAAAACGTTTTCATCAAAAGAGTGATATGAAGAAGCATACATATATACATACGGGTAAGCTTCATAAGCTATCTCCTGTCTACCCCACCCCTCCCGTCATCTTAAAAAAAGATATTTTACTTTCAAACATAGTCATAACACTAGCATTCATTCATTGGCTTTTTCCCCTCCTCTTCGATCTTTCTCTTCCTCTCTCTCTCTCTCTCTATCTTCCCGGAGAGAAGAAGAATGAGAAAAAAAACCTTGTTACTAATGAGAGTGATGAAGATAGCGAAAGATGCTTTGAGCAAGAATTATTCTGAATCCAGAAATGATTGATGAATCTGGCGTGAATGCATGAAAAGCACCGCTTCTAAAAACCGACAGCCTCATCTCAAACCAACTATTCATAATGAATTTGTGATTCGATAGATGACGGATGATGACACGAAAAGTGGATGAGCGTGAAGAAGCAAATTCAGAATCATCATGCTTCCTCTTCTACCAGTCAGCTACTCTTTGTATAGATTGTGAAGTTCCAAACGGCTTTGTTCAGCTTTTCATATAAATCATTAGAATTTTAAAGAAGCCCAAGTTGCTCATAATCTGTTGGAAGAGTTGTCGAGACAAGCTGAAAGTGAATCCCAATATTGCAAGAGTAAAATGCATTTGGGAGAGATAGTAAGAAAGGGAAGAAGAGACCGAGAGAGCTAGAGAGGTGCAGGCAGAGTTCCAACGACCTATGCTCGATTGCGACATATCGTTTCCGTATGGTTGCTTCCGAAGATTAAACCACTGTTCATGCAAGCTCAATCGTGCTTTTAAAGCTTATTTACAACTTGGGAGCAAGTTCGAAGTCTCCATAGATGGCTTGAATGTCGATATATCCAAATGATCAGAACCTGACTCGCGTGCCAATCGGCTGTAATTAGGAGCATAACGTCAAGATTAAATAGACGCATATGTGATTTATTGCCTAATTCGGCAAAAAGTCTCAAATATGTGTGAAGATACAACCTAAGCTGTCCTCATTTGGTAAACTTATCCATCTTTCTCTCGTTATGTGTTCTGATAGAAAATTAGGACGATTATTTGACAGATGAAAACAAATTAAATCGGTCCTTGTCTAGAACATTGACGACAATCTCTGACGTGCTCCTTCTCTCTTTTCTCTTTTTTATTAAAAATCACAATCTACGTGTAATCTCTTCGTCTTCTTCTTCTTCTTCTTCTTCTTCTGGGGATGTATGAGACTGACAATGTAGTTTTCCAAAGGGGATCTTGAACAACTTGCAATGACATATCACCCGTAAGCTTCCTTGTTTTCAGGAGAGAAGCCTCACAAGTGCACTGTTTGTGGAAAAGCCTTCAGTCAATCATCAAATCTTATAACTCATACCCGTAAACATACAGGTTTTAAGGTTTTTATTTATACATTACTATTCATACTAATAATGATATGTTCCAGCCTTTTGCTTGTGATGTTTGTGGTAGAACATTCCAACGGAAAGTAGATCGAAGAAGACATCGGGAAACACACCATCCCGGTCAACCAGAAGAATTAGATGGTCAGCCATACATTTTTTGGAAACTCATGTGAAAGAAGGAACAAATGTTTTAATTGTGAAAGATGGCTGAGAGAAGATGACTCTTCCCTTCCCTTCCCTTCCCTTCCCTCCCTCTTCGATTCATAAAATCCGTTTGAATTGCAAAAATAGTTAAAAGAGAATTGGAAGATAGGATTTGCGAATCCTTCATTGTTTTGCTTCTTTGTAATTTTTTTTTCAAAAAATGACGTTCAATCCATAAACATCAAGCTGAAGTCGTGGGATGTTTTGGGTGGTTCAAGTGAGAATGATGATTCGCCGGAGCAATTATCTATCTTTATCAAACTTCATATATAATGAAACTTTTGGATGGATCCTTCAACTCAATTCTTTTTTTTTTCGTTGAAAATAGCAGATGAGAAGGAGGAGGTGGAACAGAAAGCGAAAGAGTTGATTTAAAATTTTGTGTGGCAAATGTTGATGAGTTCTGAATGAGAATCACGAAGTTGATGCCATTCGAAGCTACCGTAGTCATGAGATGAGTTAACTTGGAAAAGGATTTGAAGATAATACGAAGATGGTGCAGATGAGCAAAGTATGGAATGAGTTCAACCATAATCCAGTTAAAAAGATTCGATTTGAATAGAAGATACATGTATGGCTGTCTGTCTGTGTGTGCCATGTATGAGCTGTATGGATGGTGTTCAGCTTCTTACCATATATCCCTTCCTCTTCTATAATCCTATAGATTTACATAATAAGAAAGTTGTTTAAATGAAATCTATTGGCTGTAAGTCAGTTATTTGACTTCTCTTCTCAGTTATTTCAAATATCTTTTCACAAACTAATCTACTCATAATCCGGTATAGCCTCATCCAATTTGGGTGCAACAATGCGCCAACCAAAGATGATTGTCATCCATTTGAGAGGTCAGGGAGAAGGAGAGGGACAGCCAGCGAGAGATAAAAAGAAGAATTTACTAAAATTATTCATACAAAACTAAGAGACAGAAAAGAAGGTTGAGAGAGAGAGAGAAAGAGAGAAAGAAAATGAGTTGAAAGTCAGGGATATGATAATTATGGTCACGAAAAGAAATGAGTTGGGATAACTGACACAGAGTGAAAAGAGCAAAACGAATGAGGGCTCATCTGCCCATCTGGCAATAATTAAGACAAGACATTTCGTTAACAAAAGAAACAGAAGAAAAGAGAGTCGAGAATCACAACTTGACACAACTCACCAACGTGTACTTCTTTTCAATTTCCACAACAAAAAATAGAGGATGTGAATGGAGCTAATAAGAGATTATGAGTTGGGAATGAGACAATCCTTTGGCTCATTCAGGCCACAACTGCGATAGATGTAGAATGGGGAATACTGGGGACAATTCGTTTTTATAACTTTTCATTTTCAGCTTCGTCCAACAAGAATTCGTTATCATTTGAATTGGCTCAGCGCGGCTACATGTCACCGACGGAAGATTCTGCCATTGAAACGGCCGAAGATATGCTCAGCTCCTTTAGGTATTTCCGGAAATTGGTTTTTTGCAAACTTGATCTGTCAACTTTCAGACTTCCAACTCAGCTTTTCGATTTACGGGTTGCCCTTTCAGCCAAAGATGATGAATCTGAAGCTCTTAACTTAAGCCAAAAGTCCTGATCTCAAAATGTTGTTAATGTGACTGAACGATATCCTCCTATCTGCTTTAATGTTTGTTTTGTGAAACCGAAAAGTATGTTTTAAGTTAGAAAAATTGGTTTTCTCTTTGTATAAAATTCTATCTTTATCTTCTTTCCAACCTTCATGACTATTATCTGATTGTCATATCTTAATCAGAGTCCTTATGAACATCACTGTAGAGATGTACACAAAGCTTTAAACTATATCAAGTTAGCTTATACTTTCAGCTTTCCTCTTTCCTTTTCTAATGTTAGTACATTCCATATTCCTCACTCTCTCTCTCTATCCTATTCTCTATGTCTTATTTGAAGTTGTGGGAATATACTGGAGCTTCTATGTTATCCGGTGAGTATACAGTATTTGAAGCCACACACACACTCACACACATTTCCATTCTCATCCACCCTCCTTCTTGATTGAATTTTTAGCTCCGCTAATGCTGAAATGCTTTATGATTTAAGAATATTTTGTTGAAACAATTATATTTCTATTAATTATGTAATTAATAATAATTTAAATAATCTTTTTCATTTCATTTTCAATAATAATCGACAGAGAGAAGGAGAGACATGTTTTCAGAGAGAATTCTGCTGAAAGATACTTGATTCAGTCAATAGGCATTTACTTTCATTTTGCTCAACTTCTGAAAATGAGCTTGTTGACAGAAATACTGGGTTGTCTTCTCTCACTATCAAACACAGAGAGGGAAATATAGAGAGAGTGAGGGAGAGAGAGAGAGAAACAGAGAGAGAGAGAGAGAGAGAGAGAGAGAGAGAGAAGAGCTGGAGATTTAAAAAGAAAAATATTTTTTTGTCAAAACTTTTTTCTGAGTTTTTTAAAAAAATATGAATTTCTTCTTCTTCTAAAATGCATTGAACTGTATCGTGATGTTAGACAGATTGTCTCCAACATAAATCCAAACAAGGAAAAACTTTTGATTAGAGCATTACTAGCTAAGTAGCAACTTGAAAAACAACAAAAATTACCGAAAAATCATTAATTTACTTCCCTCGCAACGCTTGCACACATAATAATAAGACAAAGCAATAAATATGTCCAACTCTCTTGGCTCTCTTTTTCCAACGACAAGCTTTTCCCATCAAACTCACCCTGAAAACAATACCCAAGACCTAACAGGGAAGAAAGAATAACCTCCAGGATTCCAGAAATGGTCATATCCTGGAACTTCTTACATTTTTATCTGATATGAAGAAGGGAGTGAACAAAAAAAGAGGGTTGTGAACTTTAACACGAAACAACGACTTCGTTAAGGGATATCATTCACATGGGCCGCGTGATGAAGCGGTGACATTCATGACTAAATTTCATTTCACGTTTCATACTTAGTGAAGTGGTGGTGCTGTACGCTGGCATCGACTGTCATATAAATGGTTTGGTGGCCATCGACTCAAGCTAATGTTTTACGTATCGCATATGGGTTTAAAACACCTTAGAAACAAAGAAAAACCGTAGACAATGAATGAAATCTTAAATCCTTTTCCCAACATCTTAATCCTAAAATTATATCATATCTTCTATCACTTCCTACGGTATTCCACCGTTCTTTAATTATATTATTTTTATCCCTCCTCTTATTTATACCCCTATTACGTGGAAAGTCCACGTGCCACGTACGTAGTGTTTTCTTACCCTATACGATACCGTTACACATGTGCTCCAGTTCAACTATGCGAACGCAACGCGTCACGCAAACTCGTTGAGCATGGGAAAAGAGGGGACTCAGGATCTATTATTTTGGATAATGAAAGCCGATTTCTTGGCATGTCAACGGGCAAAAAGGATTTCTGCTTTTCGGATCTGAAGTATATGCCGATAACCGAGGTGGCCGATCATTACACCAACTCGAAGATAATTTCCTCAGAGGGAATTTATATCATCGGAGGTATTGTTGATGACGAAGTAAGTTGATTCAGTTAAGAAATTAGTTAAATTATTATTTTTAACTTCAGCCATGATCGTGAGATCCATCTATACAGTCGTGGCTGTTGAGTACCCTGTAAGGGACAGGACTGTGGCTTCGTTGCAACTATTGTGAGTCCCCATGTGCAGAAAGTGAATGTCTTGGCATTATAGTTGGATAATGGAAGAAGAAGCAGACAATTTGTGGGAAGATTGTACAGGTTGACAGAAGAATCAATGTGCAGACGTCAAATCTTTACAATTTTTTGTATTGAATCGGTCAATTTTTCCGTTTGGTTACCTTAATTGCTGGTTATACATAGAGTATCGATGAATGCGAAATATAATTGTTTATCTTACAAATGAAAAAGATTAAAGCAAGAATGTGGGAAAAAAACAGAACAGAAGGTATTATACCATCAGATGCTTAATTCGATCAAACTACATACAAGTACATGACCATCTGTAATAAGAGAGAGATAGATGTGATTATTAGTTTCAAATGTAAGCATTGAAGAGAATTATTTGAAAAATATTTAAATTTTAAATGATCCATCTTTGAATCTAATTGAGATGAGTCAATCAACTTGTTTCATTCACATGGTTGATCATTCTAATGACCGAAACATATGGCCAAAACTCATCCTTAATTAAAAACTTCTTGTGTTTAACTTTTGTGCTTTCATCTCCTAATTTGGCGTTTAGTAAATCCTATTTACAGCTTGCGCGCCCGCATTCCAAATCCTCCCCATGTTTAATGAAATAAAAAAGTTTTTTAATTGTCAATCTATCCTCTTTCAAATAGCTTATCCTGTAGATCTTTCCTTCTTCCCCCCCCCCCTTAGCCAACATAACAATTTGATTCAATTTTGGAATGTCCCATTACGTGTTTTTCCCTTTGGAATATGCTGGACACACACTCATATTTTTTCTTTATAAACTCTTATAGTATTCCCTTCAGCTTTTCGTTCATCTACACCCTCTCTCTGCATAGCTTTTGACCTATCTGCTCCGAGTTTTTTCTCTCCTTTCATCTATGCCTCTCTCTTTGTCCCTCCAAAAGTTCATATTCAATGTGCCTGAGCATTTCTTATGCATGATAGCCTGTGATTCTTTCTTTTCTTTGAAGTTTCTCTTCCTCATACAACCAGCTGGTTTAAAAAGAATTTTACGAAGAGCAGATGGCTTCGAACCAAACATTTCGTACAATACGAAGAGAATAAAGTCGTCAAACTTCTTGTCACATCATAACTCTTTCATCTTCATATGGTCATCGATGTTGTTTATTAGGAGAGAACGATCAACAACTGAAATGTTTGAGGTTTTCATGATTACAGGGAAAAGAATCCCGACGTAGACAGCCGGCTGGCCTTCTCTCTTTCCACTTAATCCCTCTGAATCACAGTTCGGTCTATTATGTATTAGCCATCCTCATCTCTCTCACACTTCATCATTCACTTCTCTCTCTCTTATGAACGATCTATTTTTTTGGAAACAAATTACTCTTTAACATATACTTTCCGATCGTCGGCTTAGCCTTCAATTCTCACCTGTATAAGGTCATATTGTTTATTACCAATTGAATATTCTTCTCTTTCCGCAATTTACTTCCAATTAATCTCGCATTAACTTAATTTCTACAATCAAAATTGTTCTGACAAACGCCTTTTCTGTTCGTTTTAATGAATTCTGTTTTCAACTCTCTCCTACAGGTCAGAGAATACCAGTTTTTAGATGGATTTCACGCTTTTAAAGTAAAAAACTTCATTTTGTGTGCGAGGAGAGTTAATGGAAGAAAATTGTGTTGCCACTTCTACTAAACGATCGAAGTCCTTCAGAAGTCGGTTCTTTCATGAGAATTCTTTTTGAAAATCTCTTTTGAATTGGAAGCTCATTTGAAATAAAGCTACATCTCCCAATTGTCCATTTGTTCATTTGTCGATGAATGTATGTTCACCTGATCATCCCTTTGCCGGACTAATCTCTTGACTAACCTCGGTTATTCTTTTATCTGTGTCTATCTCACTATTACATACTATTTACAGCTCCAGCTATATAGCTAACTGATGTTGCTTGACAAACATCTGATCCCATCAGCTGTATAGTCGAAAGTGACCAGTAACAGCTTGCCAACCTAACGCTCAGCTTGATTCTCTAATATCTCCTGCTGTTAGAGTTTTTTGAGCAGAATAGTTTCTTTCGTTGAAATGTTTTCTTTCCAGCTTCCTTTTGTTTTTCCCCTTCTTATTTTTTTCACTCCGCTTAGAAATCGAACACCCCATTCCCATCAAGGTGAGAATTTTCTTCCGTTTTAACCATAATTAGCTAGATACCTGTGCCTCAGCCGGCTTTTTTCCATCTCTCACTCTCTCATTCTCCGTATCTCATAACGCTTTATATGATTCTCTTCTTTACCTTAAGCCATTCACACGACCTACTCATCCTTATTCCACTCCATAATTGCTGCATGAAATTTGAAACTGTCAAAGGCAGATGGGCCGACAAGATAGTACGGATTTCCTGTTTAGGACAAAAATCTAAAAACAACAGACAAACAAAACATCTAATAGGCTAGGAGGTAAAGAAAAAAGACCGACAGAAGCCGACAGATCCTGCCAACCTCTTTTTGAGTCGGAAATATGATGCCCAGCAATCTGGACTCTAATGAGAGCACAGGATAAGGTTGCGTCGTCGTTTGTTTTTCTTCCATATATATATCTAAACTGAATATGTCTTAGACTGTTTGTTTATTTTTCCGACAACTTTGAAATGATTCAAAGCTCTGAGAGAAATTGTTATAAACGAACTAGGAAACCTTTTGTTCCACATTTCCTAAACATGTGAAGTCTGTTGGAGTGTGTTATACCACCCACCAAACATTCCCAACATCCTCCTTTTTTCATTCAAGCAAATTAGATTAACAGTTGATGAAACATAATCATTCCTTTTGTGGAAACCCGCTCAAGAAGTTTCGAATATGTGTCACCGGATAGTTTTGCAAGAGGAAAAAACGACGAGATGATTCGAATCTCGGCTGAGACAAAAGAACTCATACTTGTCATCAAAATCTTATGTGAAAAATGCGACGAACAGCGAAATTACTATTGTTATAACTGCTTCTTCTCTTTCATCCTTCATCTTATCTCCTCATCTTCATTAAGAAGTTTTTAAACTTGTTCATTTGCATCATATCTATATGTACTCTTCATAAGGAAGTTACGTAAATATTGTTTTACAACATTTACTCAGAGGATCTCAATTATCTTAATCTCTTACTGTCACCCCACATCAGAAGACAACTCATTGAGTTTGAGGTTAACCTCAGTTAACATTCTGTCTGCTGGGCTTGTTATCTGTTCATCCAATCAGCATTTCCGCTCAACTTATTTCATTTTTTGTGTATATAATGATATAATAGAAGATGATTGATTATTGTCATTATGAAAACAAAATATCTTCCTATAATTAGTAGAAAGAAGAAGGATAGACAGAAAACAAGATTTCTGATAGGATTAGGTCGGCAAAGACACGGACCTTCGAGCACGACCCCTTGGTGGCATACTATTTAAGGAAAGAGAGAGAGAAAGGGAAGAGAGTCTTTGAAAGGTAACCTTCTAGCAAACCTGTAATCACTACCATTTCTATTATTTTCTTGAACTTCTGAAGATGTCTACGATAAGATTCCATTTCTTCTTCTCTTATTATAGCTCAGCATGTATCTCCCTTTACAACCTTGTAAATTCTTTTTATTTTTCTTGCATCATGAACAATTGAATTGTGAAGAAAAAAAAATAATATTGTATAAGGAGTGTTGTGTTTTATGGAGAGAAGATTAGAGGTGTTGGGAGGGAGAGATAGAGAAAGACGAAATATCATGTGTTGTTTGTTATGTAACTAAATCTCCTCTTATACACCAGCCTTTTTGCACAAATCTGTTCAGATATTCACAAGACAGATTGCCACAGAACTGTGAGGAAGGATTCTCTATACGTGAGAGAAAGAATGAGAAATAACAAGAGAAAGAGAGAAAGAGAGAGTGTGTGCCAAAACCTACAGATCAGCCCCCCAACTGGGCAATTTATAATTGTGTGGACAGAAGACATGCAAGAAACATGCATAATATATCAGACACCTTATGTTCATTTCCATTATATACCCATCACACAGGTAAATGGTTCAGTTTGAGAATGTTTCGTTTCGCTTAATCCTTTCTTCATCACATAACTCCCTCTTATTTCCTTTACTCTCCTATAATCATGTCACATCATTATCTCTCCATATTCCATGTAATAAAATCCTTGGCTGTCTCCAATTCAACAGAATATTTCTCTTTACACCTCCTTTCATTCTTTTTCTTACATTTACATATTCCATATTGCTCTTTCTTTGAAGATATACAAATATATTTATTATAACGCTACAAACCATTTCATGATTATTACACAATCCACGTTTCTTTTCGCTTCTTCCGTTCTCGCTCACAATCGTTCGTTCATCGTTCTTCCGGAACTGTAATATTGTATTTCTCTAACTGATAGTTCATAATGGGTTCCTATGTAGCTTGAGCACCCAAAATGTTGGGCCGAACCGGGATTTGAACCCGGGACCTCTCGCACCCAAAGCGAGAATCATACCCCTAGACCATTCGGCCACGTTATCTTCGCTTGCGTCTTCCAAAATTCGCCCCGAGGCTATCCCATCATGGATTTCGATGATCTGGGGCTATGGGGCGCTAAAATTTGGGCCGAACCGGGATTTGAACCCGGGACCTCTCGCACCCAAAGCGAGAATCATACCCCTAGACCATTCGGCCACAAAGTGAGAAAGTGTTTTCTTAAAGATTATGGACGCCGCAAGATAACCGGTCGAGATAAAAACGAAGTTTTTGAAAAGATTTGGGCCGAACCGGGATTTGAACCCGGGACCTCTCGCACCCAAAGCGAGAATCATACCCCTAGACCATTCGGCCACGATATGTTGCAGAAAGTTTCTTAATATCCGATGACCGTCACCTTCTTGTTGCGCGCTAAATAAGCAAACGATGACTGGTCAGCGCGTCCGCGGCGAGACAAGAGAGGCCTTATAGAAAGGATGCAAAAGGATAGTAGAATGTCAACAAATCGAGTGGATGATAATTCTTTCGCAATTTAGATGTCTTTTGAAATAGTTTATAAAGTTACAAGGAATGTAAACGATTACATATAAGTGCTTCAATGTTTATTTGTTCATGAAGTTCTTTACTTTCAAAAAACGTCAATGAGTGGTTGGACTTTGTTAGTTTTTTTGTGTCTCATCACATATACTTCCTTTCTTCTTGTGAAGAGAAGAATGAAAATGTCATCAACTTGTCACCGAACACTAATTCCCAGTTGTAAGATTTGCATATTTCTGCACAAAGCCTCTAAATTCCAACAGCTTAGCTTATCTGAAAGGAAAAAGTAGAATTGCTGAGTAGGAATCATCTTGAGTGACAGCTAGAGGAGATGAAATGGAAAAGGTGCCTAAAAACTATTCGAATGCACCTTAAACTTTGATAGACATTTGCTTTTGAATGCAGAAGCTGATGCTCAATAGGGAAGGAAATTGATTTTCAGCTGATGTTCACAAGGTTATATGACTGAGTAACAATATTTTTTGTGAGAATATGTATATCATTTGCTGGCTTGTGTGCTGAAAAGGGAATTCATACGGAATCATTTCTATTCAAGCTCTTTGTAATGAAGAAGAAGAAGAAAAGAAGAAAGTTATTGATATAACTTGAATATGATTATCAATTCGTGCTCATTCTTCCTCATAAACAAAATGATTTCAAGCGTAACATAGGGTTTCTTGTAAATTCGTAATATCCCTACAGATGACCTTCCGCCTCTTCATCTCTAGAATGTACCCCCTTGTTCAATCTGTCTATGTTATATCATATAGTTAGTTTTTAAATCATAAATGTATCTTTCCATTACATTTCTATATGCAAATGTAGTCGATCGGCCGGTTATTTTCAAAATTCGTTGCATGCTAAACCAATAAGCATCATATGCTAATTTCACGTGCAGCGTTGGGATTAACGTGAAAAGCGAAAAACCATTTTTCATGTTGTTATGTTGAAGAACGGTTGATGTTTTCTTTTTTTTTCAAACTTTTCTAATATTCTCTCCTCTCTCTTTTCTCTCTCACTCTCTCTCTCTTCCTCTCTCTTTTTTTTTATCAAATCCCATAATCGTATTTTACAACAGGACGAATAAAACGCAAAAATTAACATTTCGCCTGTATTGAAGCTGAATTCATTTGCATGAGAATGTTCTTCTATATTCGAAACATGTAAATATCTTTTTAGTAAAATGACAGTTTATATCGTCTTTGGCTATCATTCTGATTATTTGCTTTATTGTTGAATCAGATGATTTATTTTTCACGAAATATCTCCATGGCATACAGGCGTCATCTCTTTCTATCTTCAATCATCTGTCGTCTTCTGTTGTCATCCATTCGACTACAGAATTAATATTTTAATAAAATATTCCAATTTTTTTGTTCAACACTCCTGAGTTTGCTTTAATGAATCACAGGCTATTCATTAGATCTACGTCATCACGAGATTATCAGCCCTTCAAAGCTAATTATACAGTCTATCCTTCCTACTGTACTCACCCCAATAGAGAAATCTGTCAGGATGCATTACTTCCTTTTGCGTATCACTTTCGATCCGCCTTTTGACCCTGGCCCAGCCATTTCCTTTGCAAATACTCAATTCTTTCTTCATTATGCTCATTCTCGTTATAAATGAAGACTGTCAATACAGTTGTAGGAAATTGTTCGAACTGTATCCATCTCAATGGCCTTGTTCCCCGATTCATTGTCTTTGCTCTGTAACCTTTCTTCCTCTTCTTCTTGAGCAATTATTATGCTTGACACCTCGGATTTTGTTGTTCTCTCATACTCTTTAATGACTTACGGCCTGTGAAAACAATCTGTTCTTCAGACTTTTTTTTTTACTTCGTTCATCTTTCTCTCTTTCAACTGTCATGCTTGTGAAAGGCGGTAACCACTTTAGGTTATTCTGCGGGTTCAACCATCTACACGTCAACTCACTGATGTCTCATTCATCTCAGCATGCTAACTGTTTTTCTTTTCTATCGTTACGCCATATAAGCGCTAGAACTATGAGAAGATGTACCGACGACGTTATTTGGAGTGAAGACGGACGGTTTGACGTCCTCGTCATTTCATCTTCCATCTTGCCAGCCTATTTTGTCAGCCAACGACATGTCTGTCTCTTATGAATTTACCGCCCTCCAGAAATCTTACAGCTGCTCCAACGATCGTTGACAGTCTTTAAGTGAGCTTGTGACTAGTCATCGATTTGCCTTTTTTATTGAAAGCAAGATGATCATAACAAGCAGAATATTTTTATGTGAACTCTAACCATATTCTCCATTCTCAAACATACTTCAATCGTATTCCGAATCTTCGACGACCCTTCTGAGTTTTTGTTCTGCCGTGAACGTTCTAATCGTACCTGATAGAGAAAACTTGATGCATCAATGCAAAGCAACCCTTAATGATTTGTTAATCCTGTTCATCGTAATTAGAGTTTGACAAAAGACAATTGCCCTTTAATATCATTTTTGTCCTTCTTCACCATAATGTCTCCATTCTTGAGAAAAGCTTCCACTTACCGTTTCTTGGAAACATCCCCTGCTTCTGTTACAAGAAAGACGTTTTGTACTCTTTCACTGTTGCATTCTGTCTTCTGATTCCCTCTTAACTTCTACTTACTTTACTGTTCAACAGACTGTTCGCTGTTGTCAACAGTTCGTGGTTGTCCTGCTGCTAATAGTTTGTCTGATCAGCATTCATACAAGGTCATAGCTCTTCTGTCTTGTCGACTTTTATAAATGATTCTCTTCAACCGTTGAAGTATAGAATCCGTGCTGAGTTGATCTGGGCAGCTGGCTGAGATCTGTTCTATCGAGCAGTACGTAACGTCATCATCTTCTGAAGCTTTCAAGACATCAAGATTTGATTCTTATCCGCGAACAGTTGTTCAATAATTCCTCTTACAATTCTATTTTCTCAACAAGTCTTTGTTGTCATAGTGAATTGTGAACAACATGTGTTAAGGATTAACCTATACTCGTAATCCATATTTGTAAAAATCAGCTCTGAGCTTCCTTTACAGCAGCAGTAAAGTAAAGATTCTCGCGTTCACTCTATAACGCTTCCTACTAGCTCTTATTGAATTCTTTTCATTTTTATATTCGTGTGAATAACCGTGCTTGACGTTATATTAAGCATAAATAAGATTAATGTGGCTACTTAGATGTTCTCAGATTAAGAGCTTCTATATGAGTATCAGCTGGCTCTCCTTTTGCTCTTACCCTGAAAGCTTAACCTTCTCTGTTAAGTCATATCGACCGTTATTGTTGTCATCAGGAGATCTTCTTACCGGTCATTCTCTCTATCCAATCCCTTCTAAGGTTCTTACGTTACCCAGTCAATTAACGAAATACAGTTATGGGTAATCAATATGAGTACGTTTGCAGAGAGCATCTTATGAAGAAAATAAAATTCTTAAATGAAAACTCCAAATTTCTTTCTTTAAAATTTATAGAAGAATTTGTTTGAAATCGCGTGACAGGAGTAATTTCTATTTCTTCAATAAGAAGAACAAGAAGGTCGAACAAGCTCACATTAGTCATGTTAGGATGATGAGAGTGAGAGAGAGAGATAGATGAAGGAGGGGGAGGAGATGGAGGAAATCATCTATTTATGCAATCTGTGGATATTTTCATAATTCTCCTTCAATTAATTATGTCCATCTTTTTTATCCATATCCAGCTTCTTGTTGTTTCATCTCATTTTTCAACACAAAGCCCCAAAATTGATAGTCTGAGTGGGGGTGGTCGGTCAGTGCTGTGGTGATGATGCAGCTGGCGACGTATTGGTCAGCCGGCTGGCTACTCACATCCAAAGGTTTCAAAGCCACCCCCAAACATACATCTTCATTTACATGCTCATAAAGCCGATGTAATGAGGGGACTGATGTTTCATTTCACAACCATTATTACTTCCTTTATTATCCTTCTTTTGGCACATTTGCTAATTAGAGAACAGCAAATGTACCGTTCTCCTCAAATTCATCTATGAATTGCGATTCGAAATGAGACAAACCGTAAAAGATGCTTAACGTCCTTTCATGAATTGTTTAATGACAGCAACTAAAAATGCAACCAATTTGTTACTGACCGACAGTGCAAATGAAATTCCAATGGCAACAACACAATCACGTATATTCCACGTGCCGTCACGTGAGATAGTTCACGTAACATACAATCATGCCACTTTATGCAAATTGGCTCTAATAGCATTTTGTGCACTTATTTATTATTTATGTTATTTATTAATTTTAAGTACTTATAAGCTCCGCCCTGTTGAAGAAATCGTCCCAAGTGGAGATGACCACATAGAGGGCGGAGACTCAATCGGCGTGTAATCGTCAGAACGTTCTGATAGAAAACTGTTGTCAGAAGAGAAAGAAGACGAAAAAAAGATAATTAATCTAAAAAAATCTTCTTTCTCTTCTCAAAATCAATAACTCTTCGTAGTAAGCTTTGTATGTTCGTGTATTTCATTCAGTTGTCTTCAAATTCTGTCCATCAATTGGAAAAGTTGTGAATAATAGCCTTGGTCATACCGTAATCTGAACTTGCATGAAGTTGAGATATTTCATTAACACTCTCTTCTCTCTCAATTATATTTTGCGAAAAAACTTTGTAATTTAACATTTCTTTTGATATATAGCAACGAATGAAGAGATTGATTTCTATAATTAACTTGTGTGTTAGATGACTCAATACCGTTCGTTCTGTCAGTGCTTGGCTGTTACCACTTCTTCACCAATCTCCCCATTCTTGAAGATTTGCGTTGAAACTTTGTGAAAACATTTCTCTCTCTCCAGAAACTACATAGAACCTCAGATATGAGAAGAACACTTCAATTATTCGAAACTTGTTGAGATATTTGACTTACATCTTGATTGCTTTTTCTCAATCCTCTCAATCTCTCCTTAAAGCATATCTTGCGAGAGTATTCCTATTCACCTCCTCCTCTTCCAGCGAACAAAGGTTCATTTCTAAGAAAAAGTAACTTCTAAGCTCAAAAACTATGTTTGAGCCGAAGTTGTTTATTGAAGAACTTGAGCAAATTGAATTAAATTAATGAAATTATGTCGAATTATGCCTCAAGGCAAACTTAAAGACGTAAAAAATGGTTTTTTCGGTTTGTGTTGGATGTTGTTTTGGAGATTATTAGGAGATAGAGAGAGAGAGAGAGAGAGAGAGAGAGAGAGAGAAAGGCAGTAGAACATTTGCTGTTTATTATTATAATGGAAGATATAAGATGTTTCCTCATCCCCTTTGTCGGTTGAAATTATTACTTCGAAGAAGAAGAAGAACAAGATGTATCTCTTCTCACCACCTCGTAACTTCTCTTTTACATTCAAAACTAGAAGTCATTCCTTCAATATCTAGATGAGATGAATTGAAGTAGATGAAGCTATCATCACCCATACTTTAAGGCTTTTACCACTTATTTCACTCCGTTAGCTTTACTTACGTAAACATCATTCCTCAGTGTACAAGTATAGAAAAGCAAAAAACTTTCACGTAATCTAATTTTCACGTAAACGTTCGAAAGTCTCCCAAAATCTCATTCAGCTGATTGGCGGACGTATTGAGCGGTTGTTCTTCACCAATTTATTCCCTCCTATCCTCTCTCTTTTCGTTTTTCAAAAAATTGGACTTTCTCTTCTTTCATTTTATTATTTCTTTGACAAAAAAAGTTTCTTCTCCCATTTTCAGCTTCTCGCTTTCCAAACATGTCTCTTCCAGTGATTGTTGACTGATATACTTGATGATCTTCTTGAGGCAAGCACCTTGTCACGGGTCTTCATCTTCACATCTTCAATTCAACAATCACTCCCTTCATATGCTAATTACTACTTTCGTAGATCGTTTCAAATTGTCTAATTGCTGGAATACTTTTTTCGTCTCCCTTTCAGAATTCATAAAAAGCGTTAAAGCGTTGATGATTCGTTTGAAAACGTCTTCTGTCTTCTTCTTCTTCTTCTTCTCTCACGTCCAACCTCTTTTCCTCTTAAACCTCCAACACATAGCTTACAATTAAACGTTTTCAATATTTTTCTGTGCGAGTGAGCTACGATGTGGAGCATTTTGAAGGTTACAGGAAAAATTGTAATTTCCTTACCGGAATATCGAACTAATTCCGTTCAAGCAATTAACGAATTGTCTCCCGAAGGCGTCGGCTGTATGTGAGCGACAGAGGAGACCAGATTGACTGCCATTTTGACGAACTTTTTTTTTGTTGGCTTGCAATTTCATTAAAAGGAATAGAATTTCATGAGAGGACTAACCAGCTGTCATACAGACCTATCATCCTCATTCAGTTAAGATTCACATCAGTTTAACACAAAAATAATATTAGTTTAAAGCTTTTTACTATCTCAATACTGCTCCAGGTTTCCAATCCGTTTTTTCTTCGTTTAAATTTTATCTTTGCCCATCTGTGCTTCTTCTGCTTTCGTTTTGTGATCGAATGTCAGGTCAGACTCATTGACAATTCCTTTTGATGACTTTGCGTGTTTTGAAAATTCTTCTTCATCTCATTTTTATTTCTTCCAACTTCATAAACTGTCTGAGACTTCTTATCGCAAAGAGAAAAAAAAGGAACTTTGAAAACTATATTTGCTACTGAATCTGGAAGGTTTTTGAATGTTCTCATTCTCAATGCATAACTGGTGTGCTCAATGGCTTGTCGACCTCTGACTCTCATCTTCACTTTTCTTCCACCCTCCCTCTTTTTCGTTTCGTTCTCTCTCTCTTTCTTTTGCCTTCTACATCGTCGCTCTTAGTCATTCGTATTCCATTTTTCGTCTCCTTTTCTTCCCTTCATTTGCAACTTTTTCGCTTCCCAATAAGCTTTTTTACCATTGTCCACTTGAAGTAAATCATTTTTCAGTTTTTATTTTTTCAAAAACTTCCAACCAATTTCGAGACTGCAAGCCAATTCGATTATACACAACTTTACTTTCTTCTAGCCTTCATCAGAATATTCAAATATTTAAATATAAATAATAATATTTTAATATCAAATCCATCATTTATATTAAAATATCTGTCAATAAGTCAATTAACCTCAGCCGCCCAGAGAAGTGAATAATCCTCTGAGACATTCGAATGACACAAACGTTTTGTGTGATGTTTTCACTTGATGGTGCCTTTCGATTCTGAAAAAAAGCTTTTCAAAAACGTTTTGCTTATCAGATCATTCATCGTTCCTCAGGAACTGTTACGCTCCTTCACGAAAAGCTTCAGTCTCAATGTAAATTTTCTATTCATCAAACAATCTCCAACTTCTTCTCTTTCTTCATCATCTCCTTCATCATCTGATGCAAATCATAGTGCGTATGCTAATGTACGTGCATCTGACCTCATTTGCATATGACGTGATCTTCACGTTTCCGTCATTCTCGAAAAAAACAACAAATTATTCATAAACAGTGATGTGTTGAGAAACGGTTGCATTCCTTTGTTCATCATTTTCATTAAAAATATAAATTGAATGTACGAATAGGAGCGAAATCTTAAAAATCAGTAGTTATTCAGTCTCTATTGTCCAACGACGGAAGTCATCTGAATGCCCAAAAACAAGATAACTCATTGAGACCCATCCTTCATTCCTCAGACGTCTTCATTCTTGTCACTTCATTCTATTCTTCTTTTATTCCGTTCAAGACCTACTAGTACTTCAGGTTTCCAACTTTCATTTCTAATTGAAATCCTCTCCTCTCACCTTCTGGCTGCCATCACTTCTTTTTTTCATTTGTAACATTTCTGCCGTCAATTGGATGCCCAGACATGACTTGCTCGTCCTTCGACCATCTCCCATCCGACATCCAGATGTTTGATTTGACGTTCCGTCCTCTTTATAAGTTTAAATTTTTTTATTTATTTCGCCCATCAGTATTTCATTTTGTAAGTTCGGAATATTTTGTGATTTGATTGTGTCTTCAAACATAAAATATCTACGTCTTCTAACTCATTATTCTTCTTCTTTGAATGTTCTTTCTCTCTCTCTCATGAGATATGTGAATACTTATATGGCTTGTAGATTTTCTCTCTTAGCATGTCCATCTTCATCCAACTTCACAATCTCATTTAGATTTGGGGCTTTCTCTAGTTTGTCTATGTCTTCTCTGAGCCTCTCTCCAACAACCAAGACTCTCTGTCAACCAACTTATACTCAGTCGTTCGTATTAGATTTTTGTAAATTCTCTATTATCGCTTCTCCATAATAGTCCTCGTACCTCGTTTGCTTATAAACTTATGAAGAGATACTTTCAGATGCGAATAATAGTATTAGTATTTCTACTGCCGTGGGTAGTCACTACACAGATACCCATAACCACCTACGGACAGTGCCAGGCATTCTGTCTCTCAGAAGTCAGTTTTTAGTTCATTTTTTAGTTCAAAAACATAAAAGCGCTTTACACATTTACGATCATTGAAACATTTAAATTAAGCATGTAAAACTTATAAAAGAAGACGGAAACCATAAAAAAAGATTTTAAGAGGCCAATGAATTCTCAGCTTTTGCTAACTTTTCTGAAATCAAAGATTTTACTGAAGCAAAAAAGAGCAAACGTTCATCCAGCTGGGCGAACAAACTCTGGAATAGCCTGACGAACTATAAAAAATGAAAATAAAAATCTTCTATTTTCAGTATGCTGCAGCCAAAGAATATTTCACATTGCTAGGTGATTCATATCAGGATGTTGAAATCGTTGATAAAGACAAATTCAATTTGGTATCCACTTTACTCTAGATGCCTTATATGTAACTCTTTTAAGTGTAAATTGGGATGTCAGTCTCCTCATATGAAAGACATTGATCTGCCACCCATCCATATTGGACAACGAGCTTATCATGAAATCACTAAGCAGGGATCCGTAGGTGAGATAATGAGCGAAGGTGATCAAAAGTATAATGAACTATGCAGATGCTATTACGCGATCACCTGTGTCATCTGTTGGCCTTCTCTGTGTAGATCTATCTGACTCTTTGATATCTGGTCGTTTAGTTCTGAATTTAACAGAAGAAGCTGTCGGCTTGAATTTGGTTCATTACATAGAGGCCGTTGGAACAGATGAGAATCAAATCGCTCAAAATATTTTCTGGCAATTATGGGTTTGTTTTAGATTTTGTTTTTGAACGTGTGAAAAGAAATTTAAAAAGTTCAGAAAACAATTTGTGAAGAGTACCATTAACTTGATTCGATAAGCATAATCCCATTGAGCTAGGCACTTAGAGAGGCATAATTAAGCTTAATGGTAAACATATGCAGAGATCAAGCTCTGAAGGCGTCCGGCTCTTTAAAGGCAATGTGTCCACTTGTGAGAAAGTACATGACCATTAATGGACATCAAAAGCAACACTTCAATTAGGTCGTCTATTGTAAAACAGCTTCTGATTTCATTTTTCACATTCTAAATCCCCATTTTCACATCCCGATTCCGTATTCTTGTCCCATCTCACAAACAAAAGCAAGAAGTCGTTCTAGGCGACGAAGTACTGAGATGAAAATTAAAAACTTCGATCAAGTTTAGAAAAATATTTTTATTTATGACTTCGATTTTGTCAACCCTTCCATGCCATCTTTGAATTGAAGAGCTGCTCTAAGCTTCTTCTGTTCTCCAAAGACCAAGCAAGACGGGAGATGAAAAAACCTATTTCAATCGTGCCCAGTAGCAATCTAGCTCATAGGTTAAAGCCGGTTCATCTGAGATTCAGAAGACTTTTTCTTCAGATGTCTGTTAAGAATCTCACGATCATTGTCTATTTGCGGACGTGATTTTCCCAGAGACGGCATTGTCTTTGTTGCTTTTATTTGGCTCATAAGTGGAAAGAGAAAGATAGAGAGAGAGGAAGCCAAAAGAAATTCTTTTCTAGATGTCTTAGTAGAAATACAGTGGCAGTTTTTCTCAAAAACTGGAACAGAATTGAGAAATGATTCTTTGTGATGAGAAAAGACCACCAGAAGAGGGAGAACAAGGGGGATTAACCCCATGTCTGCCAACACATCAAAATGATAAATATTCATGGAAACAAACGTCTTTGAACAATCGCAACCTCATGTAATCCCATAAAAGGCTTAAAACATGCATGTAAAAGCTAATAATGTACACAACTTTTGTGAAAAGATGTTATTGGAGGGAGAATTATTGAATGTTTTCTTACAGGCATACAACCCAGTCATCGACTTCTCAACAACAACCCCCAATTCTACTGATTTCATTCAATTCCGAGTGCAATCCTTCAGTCAGGATGGACTTATGGGACAACTTGTTAAATCCAACTGGATAAGTGGAGAAACTATCAACATTTCATCCAAAAACCAGATCGATGTGATTGTGGACGATGTTGTAAGACAGAAGACGTTCAAATTTCTCAATTCATCACTCCTTTTCACAGATATGGAAAGATGAGACAGCTTCAGCCAAGTTGTCGTTTCCGGAACTCGGGAATAATCAATTAACTGTTTGTTCAATGAGAATAACTTATGTTACTCACACTGGACACAAACAAGTCTTTGATTTCACCATGGTGAGCACATCAATATGTTTTCATTTCAATAATCAACTCAATTTCCCAGGATCGTTCACGTGGTTATGTTATTGATCGATTATCGTTCCACCGTAACTACACAGTTCATGTTGCGCCAACATCAAACTCTAAAGACTTGACCAGCCAATTGGCTCCAGAGACAGTAATCAACTTACCTGTTCCTAAGTGTTTAGCGCTTGTCACAGACTCTTCCATGTGTTGTGAGTTTAAATATTATTTGATGGAAATTGAAAAACAACCGAATTGCGCGTCCAAAGATTGAAAAATGAAGAGATATGGAGTGGACGCCGTTTATGCAAATTAAGCGTTTGTGCTCTTTCAGATTTGCGCGCGCGAAAAGAGATTTCAAAATGACTAAAAAGTGAAAGTTGAAGTTTCTACTTCAATAGGCTATTTTCGTTTATCATTTTGTTGAATCTCAAGTTTAGAACAACAATCCATCATTGAGTGAGAGACATTAAGTGTCTGAAACTAAAATAAAACATCGAAGTAGAGCTTGAATCACATTAGGTTTGATGATAATTCCACAGAAATGTCATCTTCTGTGCAATATTGCCATTTGATTATTCTATTTGATTCTATGAAACTTTCTCGATTGAATAGCCAGATGGCACATTAAACTGTGTCAATCTGATATGCACAATTGACTTTCTCAAGAAAAAAAGATTAAGCTGAGAGATTAACAAAAAATACTCGAATCGGGGAACTGTTCTGAATTCAAAGCTATTGCAGCACCACCTCCTGTCGATATGATTGAATGGAAGTGGAATCGTAGCCGCACCGAGGGAAACTTCTTAGTTCTAGCATGGAGTTATGGTTCCTTGTTAGAAAACGGTAAGAAAGGATAGACATGATAGATACCAATGTATTTTCTTGAAGACAGCGGGAAAAGTAATAAGGTTGCTTATCCAACCAACATTAACTTTCAAATTGAAACATCGCCAATAGCTGGAACTGATCAACCTCATTGCCAACTACTAAAGATCCAACGACGAGAAGTCTCAGGGGTACGTAACCTTACCTGAAGTTCACAAAACTAAAAAACATTTTTCAGACACACCGCTCAATAATTTTGCACAATCAGGATGATCGATGCAATTATGTGATCGGGATAACAGTTTTCGACAGTCGAAACAGAAAGAGCTCAACTGAGAAAGTTCGGGTAGTTCCCTATGATGAAGCCCAAGGAATGTTGGCTCTGAGCACAGCTCAATGGAATTTCGAAATGGTTAGGCAGCGTCTTTCTAAGTGCCATGAGTTATCATTTTCAGTTCTTACTTGTTATCTTTTTGTTGGCTCTTCTCATTGTAGCAGGAGGTATGGCAGTGTGTAGAATTCGTGATCGGAGTGAATTCAACACTTTGAAACGAGAACATCGACAGTTAACAAAGAGCATAGTGGTTGCTCAATCTGGTGAGTCAGCCTAAATACTGTTTCAAATTTTGCCGAGATCGGCTTTCGAGCTCATCACGGCTGAGTCGGACCTTTAGTTGGATGCGTAAGCCAGTGGTGACGTCACTAAATCTTCAACCTTCTGTATCTCGAAAACGAGCCATCAGAATCAATTTTTGATTCGATATTCAGAA